GGTGGGGTAAGTGATTTCTGGTAGCCAATGTTTATATTTGAAATCACCAAAACAAACACGGCCCTACCCCAAAAGGGTCTTGCCCCTATTTTGATAGCTCCCACATATACGTACGCAACCCAGGCAACGATTGGTTCTGTGAAACAAAGCAAAACCAATGTTACACCGTGTCTACGGACGTGGCGGCGCGGCGCGGCGCAACAAATCCCCGACAGAAAACTGCTGCCGGGTTCTATTTATGACGTGCTGACACACATTTCAAATGGTTTTCAACGGTCGTTTGATCGCGTCCAGTGTAGGCAGACTTTAGCTGTTGTAGACACTGTGTTACTCACCTATTGAGAAGAAACAAAGCAACCTCGGCGTCCGATCGCAGGCCTCCGCTCCTTGAGTTCTCTCCAGCGCTGGAAAGCTGATCCGATATTTACACGGGTCCTACTTCTTGCCTTATCGTTCTGCAGACGTTTTCCTCTTTTGTTTTTTTATCCGCCATCTCTATCTTTCTGTCGCTCCGCTCGGCTAATGGATGCACTCAAAGCTCTCTCCTCCACATCACGAGTAGACACGCCCCTTATTGCTGATTGGCTACAAGTTTGTTTTGCTATTCGGCCCGAATCAGTTTTCTAAAGTGTTTTTGAAAAATCACATACCCTGCCTTTAATTTCCAAATTTACAACAAAGATGAAAAACTCTGTAAATAGAACAAAAGGAAGTTGACTATTCTTCCATTGGGGAATGCTTGTTAAGTACACTCACAGCATTAAATGTTATATTGCAGCACACTCCAGTCACTCACTCATCTTCTATGGGTTATGATGTCTGCTATGACTGATGTTTCATTGGAGAATGGAGATGTCCATATGGTGTCAAATTACTTAAAACTAGATTAAGAAAAACACTATACGATCATCAGAAGTTTAATTTGATACAGTTTATAATTAAAACCACTATACGATCAACAGATATACAGTATGGTTATTCTGGTACTACTTACCTTTACATTTTATTTTTATGATTGCTGTGACTGTTGCAAGGCTCACAGCAACAGGAATTCACACCTGGAGGGAGCTTGAATTGGACAGTCTTTTTGCTGCAGGTCAGAAACAAGTTGTGGTTAATGAAATATTAGATTATTTTGTATTTAAAAAGCTCAATGGTATTTTAAAGTCTTTTTGTTTTTCAGCATTTTGTTATTTTTCACTTTCCATTAACTTCATTAATGACATCATCATTCACAAAGTGACATCATTTTGGAGGGAAAACAACCACACAAATATTAAGTACAAATTGGATTTGACTCTTTCTATGATTGTGTGGTATTCGTTGTTTTAGTCTCACTCAAATACAAGTCATGTTTTATAAAATTACAGGAATCTCAATGATACAATCAATATGTAATATCAATATGTATGTGGGAAAAACTCAAGGAGAGAGTGTAGTTGAAGTCCTTGGTGACAGGACATTTGAAAATGAACTCATTCTCAAATTCCTTAAACTACTTCAATGCTACTTTATATTCATTTAAAATGATGAGTTTTTACACCTGAAGAAGTGTGAAGATCGGAGCTCAGTTCCAGGTTATCATGTTGAGGTAAAAGACTTACAGTCTTGAGTTTAAAAGTTAAAAATGAAGGTAGATTTATTAGAATGACATGAAATATAATGGTAATAGTCCCAGCATTTTGGATGATGTTTTGGTTAATTTTAAAATCATAAATACAATTATGATATAACAGTAGAAGAACTAAATAAATTTACTCACCATTGGTAATTTCTTCTAATTATAACAAAAACAATGGTAATAATAATAATGGCTGCTATAATGCTGATAATTATGTAGGCAATTTCTCCACCTGTATTGAAAGTAATAAGCGTTAAATCTCTTTGAATGATGTCATTCAACACATTTTATCTGCTTTAGTTATTTCTTTTGTGTCTGTTTGATTGATTAGATAAAAAGAATTTGAAAGATTCTAGATAGTAAACATTTTGAAATGTTACCTCTCGATGGGAGTTTGGTTTGTGTAATGTATCTGTTCTGGGCTGTAGTGCTTTCACATGTGTATGTTCCCAGCTGCTCTTGATTAAGATGAGAGAGTTTAATGGTTCCATTTTCTGGATGAAAGATAACCTTGTCCCTCCACTGCTCGGAGATTTCTTTCATAGAGGTTTTGCTGTCATATTTCAGGATGGTGGTGGAAAAACTCAAGGTGAGAGAGTAGTTGAAGTCCTTAGTGACTGGACATTCGAAAGTGAACTCATTCTCGGAGAGTTCTGAAGCAGCTAAATATTAAAAAAATAATAATAACAAAAAAAAATACAATATACATTTAAAATATTTCACACATTCTTTAGAATTATATGCTGTGTACTTCAAAATGTAACTTTATACTTTAAAATGTGTGTTTTCTCTTCCATAACATCAACGTAAAACATTGATGACTCATCCTGCGCTATAGTTTTTTACCCAGTCAAATGTTTCAGAATGAGAATAACCCCGTCCCCTACTACTAGCCGAAATAATGCGAAATTATTCACATGTTCACAGATTCTGCAAGGTGTTCCCAAACTTTCGCATGCCACTGTAAGCTTTATAAGCTTTATTTTCACATGAGTTTTGTTTTATCTCTCTCAACAGATATTCCCTTCAATGGAAATCACAGGAAGAAGAAACTAGAACAGCGATTCATTTATTACCCATCTTATCTGTGACACCACAATACAAAAATCTGTGGATTTACCTTGTTGTTTCAGACTAGCTGTATAGCATGTATTTTTAGTAGTTATGGAGCAGTTATATGTGTATGTATCGCTGATGACATCCACTTTAAGTTGACTTGTCACTGTAAACAGGTCATCTTCTGTTCGGCTGACAGTGTTCTAATTTTCAATTACTATTTTTTCTACAAAAATGCATATGTTATGTGTCTAGTCTAACTGTAATCAAATACCAAGGTTTAAAATATGAACTCAAATATTTTTTATTTAATCCAAGTGGATTCTGAAATAATGACCGTGGCTGATTTATTAGCCTACTAATCACCAAATAAATACGTTGACAATGACATGATATATTGATTTCAGTTTAAATAATTTTAGAATTGTATTATATATTTGTTTTTATTTTATGATTATGTCCAAGTAATTTAGTTAAAAATACAATTAGCTTAGCAGCAAGATGAACAGTGCAACGATATTACAGTAGGTCTGCTATTAAAACTGAAGTCATCTGAGGACATTTTCAATCCACCTTTTCCCTACGCCCCATGATGCTTTGTGTGAATTATGAGAGTAAACTGTAAACAATCAGCAAAAGTTTCACTCTATGAACGCATAGTTCAATAAGCACTTTCAAAAACTGGATACAATAAAGGTGACATTTTTTAAGTCAATCTCCAACAATCGATCATTAAAAGGAAATTTAAAAGTGTAAAACCATTAACAAATTACATACAATAAAGCTCGATTCTACCCACAGCCATATTACGGACATGTTAAATATCACAATAGTAACATATGTCTATATTACGTAACAATTACATTTTAAAGCATCTGTGTGAAAACAGACCTGGAAAGAGACGTGAGGATTTTGGGAGAAAAACGAGAGATTCTTGTGCATTTCAGGGAATTATTCATGGGATACATAATAAATTAAATAAGGACAGCAGACCACAAACACGCAGTATATGTTGACCATTTTCATATTGTTACAGCAGAATACAAAGGAAAAAAGAAAATAACCAGGAAGAAAAGAATGCAGTGGATTAAAAAGAGCTCTTCCATGGATATTCTTGTTATATCACGTCACATTAAAATACCAAGCATTATGTTATTCTCCTAAAGTCTGAAAACAGAACTTGAGGGAAATTTACAGATCATTCAATCAAAAACAAGGATTATTTGTAGTGCAACTTTTTGATTTGAAATAATTCGTTTTAGTCTTTTTGTGTGGAACTTCCCCAAACCAGCAATGCTACCCATAATAAAAAATGCATTATAGGCTCAGTAGGTGGATACAAAATGATAAATGGGGCACAAGACGCAAGTGGATAGGTGTTGGGATTGACCAATTAGAATGAAGTATTCCAGAAAGCAATTTGTGATTAGAAATTATTTTTTTTCTTAAAGAAGTCAAGGATCTTGTAAGAGTTTCAGAATTTTTGTCTCTTACCTTCCACTGACACAGACACAGCCATATGCTTCTCATCATTTTCATCAGCAGCGTAGCACCTGTATCTGCCTTCATCTTGGAGTCTGATGTTTCTTATCAAGAGTGATACATTTCCATTTTTAATTTCAGATTCCGACAACAGTGATGTTCTCCCCTTGTAGTCCTCGTGCTGATGGCCCAGCTGGTCTTGATTGAGGTAGAATGAATGCACTGCTTTTTTATCCTTGTACCAGTGGATGATATCAAGGTGGGTGGATGTGCAAGGTAACATACATTCCTCAGAATAGATACAGGTGACACGAGTGTCTGTAAAAACAGCAAATTACAGTTGTGTGATGAACACACAAACATACAGTGTCATATTAAGCTACAGGTGGGCCTACTGTATATATTCAACCAGCATTCACGCTTCCCTGTACAGTACTGTTGTGTGTGTTGTCCTTTTATATAAATAAAATCACAAATAAACTGACCTCCATGAGGCCACTGAGAAATATGTGAAAACATAGTTTGCAAAACAGCTTTGGGTTTAATAGAACATGTGATTCCAACAAGTCTGCAATCATTAACTTGTATCAAAGTTCAAATCTGAGTAAAGCTATACTGATGTGTTTACTTTCAGCAGAATGTGGTTTAAATAGTCAAAATTGTTTCTAACTCATACTATTCATGATGTAGGATCAAAGTATTAAAATAATATATAATATATAATGTATATATATATATATATATATATATATATATATATATATGTGTGTGTGTGTGTGTGTCTTTAGTATCTGAGAATAGTAACAATTATCTTGTTCTTTTTATTGAGAAATAAGAGTTCAAGTCTTGACATTAATGTAATATAAAGTTACATAAGCATTTTAGCAATTAAAGTTACAATTAAACATTTAATTACAAATACATTTGATTGTCATTTCTTTTGACAAGACGTATGTATGAGGCAGTCTGATTTTGAGGTTGAGTTAACGAGTCGAGACAGTTTTTGAAAAACATATCAGACATATAAATAAATGTCAGTAGATATTTTGGTTTCTTACCTCCTAAGATTACAGGCAGAATCCACAGCAAGAAAAGCAGCTCCATAGTCACATAGTTTAAAACTATTTGAAGGTAATAAGTTGTCTGTCTACCAGATACATTCTATTATGATTTCTTCACATTGCAGTAGCCTACACCCTCTGTGGAGATTAAGGCTTCACGAGTTGCCACACTGGTCATGTTTGTCTTGCACAAGACGCCCAGATCATGATGGTAAATAATGTGCTGCCTCCAACTGGCCTAACAGGAGTGATGTAATTCTTTTACCTTGATGGGTGTACAGAACCATTATTTACTTTTACTTGTTATGATTGAAAACTGAAAATTTGAGATTTTAGGACACAAGAAACTTTTTTTAACTGCAGATAATATTAAATAAAATAGTAAGAGGTAGATGTGCATCGACTATATAGGCTATTTTTTTGCCAATACTGATTGTGATTTGATCTTCAGCTTTGAATTATCAGATAGATTAAATAGCTTCAATATTGACCACTATGTATAATAATAATTGGTTACAATGACAGTAATAATTCTTAATTTCTGTCAGGAATGGAAAAGCATGCAAAATCAATCGGTAGTTAATGATACTTCGAATAGAATAACGAGACACAAACCTGAACATATTTAGTCACGTTTACTCCCATTTATTTTTGGTCACAGTGCTTTGCTACATAACATACATAATTTTAGTCTAAAATTGCACAAATGTGAAGAAATATGTATACACACGATTGCCTCATATTTCTCAGATTACAGTATCCTAATTTCTTAATGACTTATAGAAAGATGATTATCCACAGATTCATCAGTCAGTATCGTGTGTTCATAATTCTAGCTAATGTTTTGAAAATAATTGTATTTTTTGGTATTTTATATGGTCTGTTGGTGGAGCAGCATCAACTATATTAATGCTGGATATTTTTTTATGACTTCAGTTCCTACACCTGTATGGAAGAAAATTAGGGTTAAATCTCTCTAAATGTCTCAAGTGTTACGACCACATTCAACACATTTTATCCGCTATAGTTATTTCTTTTGTGTCTGTTTGATTGATTAGATAAAAAGAGTTTGAAAGATTCTAGATAGTAAAAATGTTGAAATGTTACCTCTTGATGGGAGTTTGGTTAGTGTAATGTATCTGTACTGTTAAGTTAAAGAAACATTTTTACAACTAAAGTTACAATTAAATATTTAATTAACAAGTTTGTGATTATTTATTTTGAAAAGACACAGGGGTGCTAATGTGACTGTTTTGAGGCAGTCTGTTTTTGAAGTTGAGTTAATGAGTTGAGACAGCTTTTGAGGCGGTCATATACCGCGACATGTAAATAAATGTCAGTAGGTATTTTGGTTTCTTACCTCCTAAAGTTGTAGGCAGAATCCACAGCAAGAAAAACAGCTTCATGTTCACTTCGTTTAAAATGATTTGAATGTAATATGTAGTCTGTCGATCAACTACTCCTCAGCTACTGCTATTCTTTTTCTCCTCATTGTAATCTGTGGAGTTTAAGTCTTACTAAGTCTACACTGGTTTTATGTAGAACCCTCCTTCTGTGTTCACGAACCCAAAGTTTAACTTCACCTCATTCCATGAATATCAGTGTGTAAACTATACATGCTGTAGTTTAAAAATGGCAGTGAATCACAGAAACAAACAGCCCTAATTATATGGAAATACAGATTATTTTACACATATAGCACATATATCACAATCATGATTATAAATAATTTGAATATTTTGTAAATAATTTTAACTGGTTTTTAGAGGCCTAACAGGAGTGATATGTAATTATTTTATCTTGACAGTTGTACAGAACCATTATTTACTTTTACTTGCCATTATGACTGAAAATAAAGCACCTAAGATTTGATCACAAAAGAAACTACTTAACTGTAGATGATTTCAAATAAAATATTAAGACAGAGCTGGGAGGTTGTATATATAATTATGATACATAGAGCATTTCACATAAATTGTTATGGTTAAGTAAAATTGTTTAAATGTATAATTCATATATTTAATAGAAATGACATTTACATTTAAGACATTTAGTAGATGTTCCCATACAGATAGACATTTAAAAATCATTTAGTTTTAATGTGTAAATTCAGCAGATAATATGCATAGAATTCAAAACATTATTTGAGCGAATAAAAAAACCAATTCAGAAGTACATATAAGAAAAATACATGTTAGTAAAAATTAATAGAAATTCAACACTGGATTGTTTTTATATCTTGATTACTGTAAGTACTGACACATATTTCCTATATAAATAATAATAATAATAATGATGATGAATAAATACTTCTTGTCTCTCCTTTTATCTGGGCAGTAAATCAATCACTTTGAAACAAACTGTTTTAAACAAACTTTCCCCCCATCTATTCTCATGTTGGTCTGTTGGCAATCTCTTCTGTTAAGCAAGTGTCCTCAGATGCAGCTCTGCTGTTTGCAACAGTCACTGTAAAGGATAGAGATCTGTGAATATGATGCAGTGAGATGAGGAGTATTTATTATGTAACTGTTACCCAGTGTTGGGAAGGTTACTTTGGAAATGTAATAGGTTACAGATTACAAGTTACCCTACTTAAAATATAATAAGTAGTGTAACTTTTCAATTACTTTATTAAACTAATGTAACTGATTACATTTAATTACTTTTTGATTACTTTTCTAAATTTCTAATGTTTTCAACTGTAACTGTAATTTAATTACACATTTTTTCTTAGTAACTGTAACTGATTACAATTACTTTTATTTTGTAATTAAATTATGTAATTCCGTTACATGTAACTAGTTACTCCCCAACACTGCTGTTACCACACACAAACCTCTGATTGGTTGCATCTCTGTAGCCTCTGCATGGGTTTTACTTGATTTTGTACAGCCAGCTGGTTTGAAGAAGATACAATTGTTGCACAAATATGTTAAGAATATATTCCAAATATTTATGCATGTATGCATGCAATTGTGGTAATCCATACCTTTACATTTTATAATTCCTATGATTGCAGTGACGGCAAGGCCTGTGATCACAGCAGCAGGAATCCACCACTGGGGGGAGCTCTCGGACTGTTGTTTTTCTGCGCGTCAGACACAATTTGTGTGGTGAATGAAATGTGAAGAAAATTAGTTTGTTAGTTGAAAAATAGTCTTCAAGAGAACTGAATGAAATTGCAACATCTCCCTTTGCTGTTTAGTTAACTGACGCATTCGTCCAACAAAGTTCCAGAGACTGTTAAAGAGACTTTCATGTTTCAAACTTAACCTGTTTTCATTTTTATTATAGTTTCAACTGGCAGCTATTTCACAGGGTTTTCCTGTGTCTTCAACATCACCAGAGTACCTTGATATCACTTTCCATTTTATTTTTAGCATACCCTTAACAATTAAAAGCCACTTCCTAAATGACATCATCATACAGGAAGTGACATGATTTTGGAGGGAAAACAATAGCACAAACATTAGTAAGTAAAACTGTTTTTATTTTATTTTTTTACTCATTCTGTGATTGTGTGGTCATATTTGGTTAAAGAGTAATGCTTGATAAAATTACAGAGACCTCAATGATACATTCAAAATTGTAAAAGTTAAATGAGAAACCCTAGCATAACATAACTCTAAATCACTCACTGAGCAATGGCATTTAAACTTTTTATTGCCTTCTTGTTGAGTTCCATCATGTTCATTTTATTTGTCATTGTGAAAATAATCAAGTTGTATTTAATAAAGTGCCTACTGCTTAACCATAATTATGAAAGTCTGATATACTCTTATAAAATAAGATATTTTTTAAGTAACAGATCTTAAAAGGTGCAGCAGAACAGAAAAGGTGGAACAGAAATGTCCCTTTTATAAAACAGCAGCAATGATAATCTAGTCTTCATAAAAATAATAAAATGTATTCATATTAATAATAATTTTCTCATTAAATAATCCTTTGCCAAATATTATGGTTCTTTATTAGGCCATTTACAGTTGCTATGGAACTGGTACAAATTAGCCACCAATTTGCCAAAACGTAAGATAGTTAATTGCATAAAGAGTGTTTTGGATTTCAGAGTCAGACTCAGAACTATATGCTTCTTTAAAAAGGGAAATACTGTTGTTTGTGATTTTAACTTCATTTTTAAAGTTAGAAATGTTGTGCAAGTTAATGATGGTGGTTTACAGGGTATAACATGCTCTCATCAGGCTTTAGTGTGATGTTGACTCTTGTATTGTCTTTATGTTTGGCCTCTATGTTGCTGACCTTTGTATGGACCTCATGTTTGGTCTGTGTGATGTTGACTCTCGTATGGACCTCATGTTTGGTCTGGTGAGCAGAGAGGATGCAGGTGTAGGTTCCAGTGTGCTCTAGACTCAGCGGGTTGTGTAGCTGTAGTGAGCCGTCTCCGCCTCGACCCCTGGGAGTCACCAGTCGCACCTTCTTCCAAACGCTGGAGCTCCGCTGTGTGCGGCTGTCATAGGTGTAGATGGTTGAGGACTTGTGTTCTTTGATGAAGGACCATGTCAGTGTGAAGTTCTGCAGGTTCCATGGGGCCACACAAGGGATGATGAAGTCCTGACCTTCCACGCTGAATATTTCTGTTTATTTGAAAATTGGTTAAAATAGTATCTAGGTGCCATTTGAAAAGGTCAGAGACATTGTGATACATGATATTCTCTCATCTGCATGTAATTGTTTGGCCGGTCACGGAAATATTTGGTGATGCAATGTCATGTAATAATAATGATGATGAAATGCAATGTAACGCGTCCAGACATGAGTTGACTCGATGAGATCAAACCTTTCTCCTGCAGTGATGCTCTCCATGTCTGAGACCTGTAGAATGATTGGACGAGGCAGATGTAGGTCAGATCTTTCAGCTTCTTGAGCTTGCTCTCCACCGAGTACAGGCCTTGTTTGTCAGCCGTTTTGTGTGTGAAGGGTTGGAAGGAATCAGGTAGACTGGCTGGCTCTGTGAACAGGTTTACACGGGGAGCAGGGTAGACATCTTGACTGGAGCATATGACTTCCTCAAAACCACTGAGACGTGTTGTCTCCAAGCTCACTGACTGGATAGGGGCTGGAATGACAGATTCATTTGTTGTTTTTGTTGTTTCTGGTGTCATTATCATTTTCAAGTCATGATTACTGTGGCAATTTTATTTTATTTTTTAACATTTTTAAAGCTTTAGAAGCACAAACCCTATGCTTTGTGTTGTTGGGGATATAAAATATATAAAATATTCTTGCATTTATTCATTTCCTGGCCAGGTGTCTATGGTAGTTTGTAGGACACATTTTGTTTGTCCCACATTTGGAATAATAATAATAATAATAATAATAATAATATAATTTATTTATTTATTTATCTATCTGACAGGGATTCTGTGGCAGATTATATGCAACTGTACTATGTGATAAGTAATTGTATATATACTGAACAAAATTATAAACGCAACACTTTTGTTTTTGCCCCCATTTTTCATGAGCTGAACTCAAAGATCTAAGACTTTTTCTACGTACACAAAAGGCCTATTTCTCTCAAATATTGTTCACAAATCTGTCTAAATCTGTGTTAGTGAGCACTTCTCCTTTGCCGAGATAATCCATCCACCTCACAGGTGCGGCATATCAAGATGCTGATTAGACAGCATGATTATTGCACAGGTGTGCCTTAAGCCCCGTTCAGACTACACAATTTTTTTGTCGGTTACGACAGTCACTGTGTCAGATTACACGATTTTGACTGGATAAAATCTTGTCGTGTCGTGGGTACCAAACATGCCAGACTACGCGTTGCTTCCTGACCAATCATTGCGTGACGTCGTGCGTACTGTCATCAAGAAGCCTGACTTCCGTAAACAACAGCGGCAATGGATACCGAAGTTGCGTGTTTTGTACTGGTTGTGTTGTCCTCGGAAAAGTGCAAAAAAAGAAAGAAAACTCGACAGTGGACACGTTCCTGGCTTGCTCGAAGAGGAAAATATGGGCTGTCAATCCTCCAAAGAGAACTCGAGGTAAAATATGGATTTTTTATAGTTTTATGTTTAGCCAGACAAAAACAGACCGTTAAAAAAAATCGAGCTAAAGCTTAAATTAAGCAGTATGCAGCTCCGATGTTTTTCATTGATCACCAATGTCATTTTACACTTCAGAAGTACAATTTGTTTTATGTAGTCACATGGGGTAAACATAAAATTACAGAGACCTCAATGATACATTCAAAATTGTAAAAGTTAAATGAGAAACCCTAGCATAACATAACTCTAAATCACTCACTGAGCAATGGCATTTAAACTTTTTATTGCCTTCTTGTTGAGTTCCATCATGTTCATTTTATTTGTCATTGTGAAAATAATCAAGTTGTATTTAATAAAGTGCCTACTGCTTAACCATAATTATGAAAGTCTGATATACTCTTATAAAATAAGATATTTTTTAAGTAACAGATCTTAAAAGGTGCAGCAGAACAGAAAAGGTGGAACAGAAATGTCCCTTTTATAAAACAGCAGCAATGATAATCTAGTCTTCATAAAAATAATAAAATGTATTCATATTAATAATAATTTTCTCATTAAATAATCCTTTGCCAAATATTATGGTTCTTTATTAGGCCATTTACAGTTGCTATGGAACTGGTACAAATTAGCCACCAATTTGCCAAAACGTAAGATAGTTAATTGCATAAAGAGTGTTTTGGATTTCAGAGTCAGACTCAGAACTATATGCTTCTTTAAAAAGGGAAATACTGTTGTTTGTGATTTTAACTTCATTTTTAAAGTTAGAAATGTTGTGCAAGTTAATGATGGTGGTTTACAGGGTATAACATGCTCTCATCAGGCTTTAGTGTGATGTTGACTCTTGTATTGTCTTTATGTTTGGCCTCTATGTTGCTGACCTTTGTATGGACCTCATGTTTGGTCTGTGTGATGTTGACTCTCGTATGGACCTCATGTTTGGTCTGGTGAGCAGAGAGGATGCAGGTGAAGGTTGAGGTTCCAGTGTGCTCTAGTCTCAGCAGGTTGTGTAGCTGCAGTGAGCCGTCTCCACCTCGACCCCTGGGGGTCACCAGTCACACTTTGTCCTTCCAAACGCTTGAGCTCCTCTCTGTGAGGCTGGCATAGGTGTAGATAGTTGAGGACTTGTTTTCTTTGATGAAGGACCATGTCAGTGTGAAGTTCTGCAGGTTCCATGGGGCCACACAAGGGATGATGAAGTCCTGACCTTCCACGCTGAATATTTCTGTTTATTTGAAAATTGGTTAAAATAGTATCTAGGTGCCATTTGAAAAGGTCAGAGACATTGTGATACATGATATTCTCTCATCTGCATGTAATTGTTTGGCCGGTCACGGAAATATTTGGTGATGCAATGTCATGTAATAATAATGATGATGAAATGCAATGTAACGCGTCCAGACATGAGTTGACTCGATGAGATCAAACCTTTCTCCTGCAGTGATGCTCTCCATGTCTGAGACCTGTAGAATGATTGGACGAGGCAGATGTAGGTCAGATCTTTCAGCTTCTTGAGCTTGCTCTCCACCGAGTACAGGCCTTGTTTGTCAGCCGTTTTGTGTGTGAAGGGTTGGAAGGAATCAGGTAGACTGGCTGGCTCTGTGAACAGGTTTACACGGGGAGCAGGGTAGACATCTTGACTGGAGCATATGACTTCCTCAAAACCACTGAGACGTGTTGTCTCCAAGCTCACTGACTGGATAGGGGCTGGAATGACAGATTCATTTGTTGTTTTTGTTGTTTCTGGTGTCATTATCATTTTCAAGTCATGATTACTGTGGCAATTTTATTTTATTTTTTAACATTTTTAAAGCTTTAGAAGCACAAACCCTATGCTTTGTGTTGTTGGGGATATAAAATATATAAAATATTCTTGCATTTATTCATTTCCTGGCCAGGTGTCTATGGTAGTTTGTAGGACACATTTTGTTTGTCCCACATTTGGAATAATAATAATAATAATAATAATAATAATATAATTTATTTATTTATTTATCTATCTGACAGGGATTCTGTGGCAGATTATATGCAACTGTACTATGTGATAAGTAATTGTATATATACTGAACAAAATTATAAACGCAACACTTTTGTTTTTGCCCCCATTTTTCATGAGCTGAACTCAAAGATCTAAGACTTTTTCTACGTACACAAAAGGCCTATTTCTCTCAAATATTGTTCACAAATCTGTCTAAATCTGTGTTAGTGAGCACTTCTCCTTTGCCAAGATAATCCATCCACCTCACAGGTGAGGCATATCAAGATGCTGATTAGACAGAATGATTATTGCACAGGTGTGCCTTAAGCCCCGTTCACACCAAGAGCGATAACTATAAAGATAACTATAAAGATAACGATATTAGCGT